TTCTCCTACGTTTACTGTAATCCAGATACTTTAAATTCAGTTTTTATGTAATGCCTAGGTTTTATGCGTAATCACGTGAAAGTTTTGTCGAGAAAATTTGCTAACTCGCGAACCAGGAAACTTAAAAAGCTGGAATTTTAGGCAGATGTTGCGTGCATATGTGAATTATCGAAATTTTGAAGTAGAGTTTTTGCGTACGTCTAAATCCCACAGACGGACACGTCGATGTTTCTACGGGGAATTTTCCAATCCCGGAACCAAACCAAGTCAGAAGCCCGAAATTTCAGGAAGATATTTTCTGCCCACGTGGGACGCCGAAAATTTTCTCAAATTCAACTTTTTATACGCCCGGCCTCACGTACGAACACATGAAAGTTTTGAATGAACAGGACATACGATATATATGTTCAATGCTTCACTGACATATGTATATATATACATATATATGTACATACGTATATATATATATGTATACATATATATGTCAGGTAGTGAAGCATTGAACATTTTAAGAGCAAGCGTGGGCAGGACAGGACTGCACAATATGCATTATCGCATCAGCTCCCTAGCGCACGTCGCTGTTATTTGCCATTAGCCATCTTTTGTTCATCCTCCAGTTTCTTTTCACCATCAGCGCAGCTGGCGACTTCCTCATTCTCGGTTTTGGGTCTCCTTTATCCCCGTAATTTCATGTAAAGCTTCAGGTGGGTGAACTTCCGTGTGCCTGTTTTTTTTTGCGTTGGTGTCATCCACTAGTCCTTTTTGTCCACAACCAGCTCCACTTTTCTTCCTGGCGTACATTACATTGATGATACTGTTGCAGCCGCGGTGCTTCATTGAAGATCTGTAGCAACTTTCTCTCACCTGCCGTGCCTTGTTCCATGACTGATTGAGTTATCCGCAAATTTTTTACTCAGGAAACGTGGTATTCCATGTTTAATTTGTGTACGATTTGAACTAGTAATACGACGGAATTGAAAAGTGCTGCTTTCACAGAAGATGCCATGCTAGTTTGAAAAAAATGTCCCGTAACATGATGAAGACGACTGTCTGCACTTTTTGTCCTGCTTAGATCTGAAGCTAACTCATTATTCATCTGCACTGTTTGCTCGAAGGAGGGTTCTTGTCTTTGGATTTCATGTGCAGTTTTTTTTTCTTTTTTTCGTAGCCCCAAAATTTGACTAATCTGATTTACAGAACGAGTTGTGTTCCCTACTCAGAAGTTTTTGATCCAGTTTAAAGCGCAGTGTAGATCAGATGACTTGAAATCATTTTAAATCTTGCTATGCCAGTAGCCCCGTCTCCATACTGAGGCTGGCGTTGGGTTTCAGAACAAGTCAAGCTGTGAACTTAAATTCTTGCTGCTTTTCACGTAATAATTACATTTTGAAAAAGCTGCTCGTAACGAGATAAAAACAGTTTAGTATGCCTTAAGTTTATTCACTGTGAGCACTACAAGACTTGCTGCTGGCGTTTGACACGCAGCGTTTTTTATGGGATATGAGGGCTTGCTGTGTGCTGATGATCTTGCTTCGAGATAATCCTGGAAGTTGTCTTTTTGCGACCGTAAACATCTTTTGTTTGAGTGACATCCTCAGGGCAGCGTTTTGCCCCACTAGCATGGTGATTCTTTTTAACGGAGACTGACTTTCAGGTGGG